AATATAATTAATGTATTAATAAATATTTAGTTGGACCTCCTTTTCATTTTACAATACTTTTGAGACGAACAGGTATGAGAAAGATCTAAGTCATCAGGCTTGCGAGACCAATTTTATTCCTATTTACATAAAATTACATTCTTGTTATATCGACATGTTGTTTCGCAATAAAGTACATATAAGTTTGACAGCTTCGTAATTCCAACATAGAGTCCTGTTGATAAGAACTCCGAATCTTGCATTGTAAACAAATATCAATCAATTAACTACCATTTTTCGTCAACAATCGACAACTAAGATAAAACCAAAAGTCTTCGCGTGAGACTTTGCCAAATCTCTGAATTAATTTCCAGCAAAAGTGGTTAAAATCAACGTAACTTTATTCAATTGCAATACATGAATATTACTCAATTCATTCGAAATCAAAGTAAATATTATTCTTCTGTAATCAATTATTATACTTAAAAGTAAACGTAAACATAGAAAATGTCTAAAATTGTTCTCTTTTCCCAATAAATTATTAATGACAACGAAAGAACTCATAGGACAAGGGGTTACATTCCACGTAAATCAAACTCCAAACATTAAACAGAATTTCCCCGAATGTAACCGATCTCGATTGCGCTTCTGTTACCGAGGCCTCACTGACGACTTCTTACCATATTAACACGCCGTTATTTGCCATTCGAATTCTAGCCTAACTTCCTCGATCATTTGCAAAGTTTTCCGAAGTGTTGTTTTTTTACTGCGGATCGCTTTAACCGCACAATTTTCCGGATGATGACTTAAAGCACATATCTTCCTGCGAAGTTTGCTAGTTTACGAGACACACCCACCGCGCATTTATAATTCCGAATTGGCAACGCTCGTGCCGTCTGACGACGAATATGCCATTTCCCTTGCCGGTGACAACGGAGTCCTCGATTCTCGCCCGGGCGAAGAGTCACGTTCATTGCGCACGAAATGCAGCAACGACGCACGTGCTCCAACAATCTGTCACAAGAATATTCCGACGAGCCCACGTACCGCCGCAAGTTTATGGCGGGTGATTTCTACCGCACCTGCTGTAATCCTGGTTGAGTCGGCTCGATCAGTCGATCGGAGAAATACGTCACAGTCGAACGCGTACGTGACATCTCGAGCGCGTTTTAAACAAGACTCGAAGGTCCCCACGGGACGTTTGACTCTGCGGGACGCGGAGCGACGAACGCATGCTGGTCGATAGAAATGGGATCAAGTTCAATGTGTATTTAGGTACTGATCCCAGTGAATTTCGATAATCGTGTCTCGTTTCATGCGTTTCGATTATAGCAATAATCTTGCTTGGCAAGAAAGTTTTAAAGATATAGCATTAAAACGAATATACCTTGTACTTTCTGAAATTACTATGATATTGGACTTTGTTTATTATGATGTTTCAATAAATAAAGGTCTAAGTTAATTAATTATTTAATTTTATTCGCCAGTTTGCTATGCAAAATGAAATAACTCAACAAGATGATAATATATTAGTATGACTTTAAAGTTACATGGTATATAGAGTGTTAAGAGTTTTGATAGCAAACCGTGTTTAGACTTTAAGTATGGAAGTCCGAAGATTGCTGACTAATGTTAAAGATTCTCGTTTGTAGTAACTAGTGAATAAATTTATTGTATTTATTTGATTCTACGTATTTAAATATTTCTACGTAGCAATAGTATCAACTATATAACGAAAATTTTACTGGTTTCAAAATTCACGATATTTTATATAGAGGTCTGTGAGATAGCACGTATATACTTAAAGGTTAATGGGAAAGATATCCTATCCTTTTGCTATCATTGTAGCTGTCTTTATCAGGGGTCAAAGGTGAGCTGATATCGGTGTGTAACTGCTCTGTATAAAGTACCTGAATACGTGATCCGGATTGCTGATTGCTAATTGCTTCTTAATTGTTCACCTGGTCAATTAAGTCTCTTTCTCTTTCTTAATTATAATTATAGTTATATTGTATTAATGAAGCATCAAATTTACTAAAAGTTACAATGAGTATACTTGTCAATTAATTATTTTATAGAAGTCTGTTTCGAATTCTAGAATGGTACTTGTTGATTTTGGAAAAAAGCTTGAAAGTACATAGTTCAATATTAGGAAGATTCAAAATGTTCGAATCATTCAAAGTCGATGTTTTTTTTTTCTCTTCTTTGGATTTATATTTTTCGTGCATGATTTAATCCTAAACCAATAATTAAAATTATAAGAATGTATGTACATATATACAAGATACGTTTCAAGACAAAAGATAGTACTATAATTTATTAATTTTCTTAGAAAGGTCGGGCATTTTCATGTGAATAACACGATTTACAGTGTATTCGTCGCAAATAATAGGAAGCTTTACGAGTAAAGTGATTGCGAATAGTTTGCAACATAGTTCGTCATTTGAAACTGCTCTTGAATTGCTTTACATAATGTCAACGTTTGTACCTCCGTAAACTGCTGTTTGCAGCATTCCCAACAACAGGGAAATTCACAAATAAAAAGAAAATCTCTTTAAATTGTGTGTCACAAGTGGAATATTGTTCCTAAATAATTGAAAACATAATGAACAAAAAATATAAAAAGAACCATGTATATTTCATGAAATATTAAAACGCTTTTTAAATTCAATTTTGTTTGTTGCCAATTATCTATAATTAATCACATATAATTTTTAATAACAGACAAGTTTCAAACGATACCCATATTTACATTATCATAAAAAAATTAATTTCAATTCACACTGTTTCTTTCCAGAATTATCATAGAATAACCTACATCAAGTAGATTGCATGAATACTTTGTCAGAGAACCATAGAATCCAATATATTCCATACAAAATCCACACAGGTACACATCATAATTATCGTTAACCTGCTTTTTGACGAATGAGTCAAAGCTCTTTGAATCTTTTTGTTAATGATATTCCCTTGAACGAACCAAGCCGACTTCTCGGCTGTGTCGATATCACTCACATGCACCTTACATAATTCCCTTAGGTCCTCTACATTATTCATCGGTGGAGATCGGGGCCAAAGAATGATGGCACGTGGAACGAGGAATAGTGAAAGCGGCGGAAGGAATCTTCTCCCAGTTGAAACCGCCATTTTGCGAATTAATTAGACGGAATCCACCCTATCCTGGGAAGACGTTTTCTTCTCAGCCGGCCGAATAGACGACGTTTCTCGTTATGAATGAATTTCATTATCTCAGTTTTGTGCCGGATCCTCCGTTGCTCGTTATTAATCGACGTTATTCCATTATTGCGCTGCGTAATTGTTACTAATAGCGATGGTAATTGGGAGAGGGCCCTTCGGCCGACGGTTGTTACGTAAATTAATAACTTAACCGACGAGAATACCGTGACAATTAACGGCCCGCGTCGATCTTCAGGCAACGCTTCACTTATTCGAAATCGGATTATTTGAATTTTGGATTTATTCATTCATAGTTTCTAACATTAAATATCAAAAATCGAAGTCGCCATATTATAATAACACTGAACCATAAAAACTCAACAAGGAGTTTACTCTGTAACAGTCAAGAGTTAATTAAAATCGTTCAATTTTTGAACATTTCCTGATTCGATTAATTCTCGAGTGTTGTTGAGTAACTACTTGCTGTTAAGCTTTTGTGGTTAATAATGTTATTATAATATGGCGACTTCGACCTTTAATATCTACATTAAAAGTTATAAATGAATAATTCAAAAATTCGAATAACAAAAAATTGATATTCTTGTGTTATTCTTGTTTAATAGTATTTAAGATTTCGGTGCACGATTCAGTTTTTAATGAATAAAGTTTTTAGAAGTATTAGGCTTAAAAGATTCTCTTGCGAAAAAGGTTAAAGAGAGAAAGACTAAAAGTAGTCGTCTATACCCTAAAATTTCCACAAACATAAACTAGTTTATTTAATGAAATAGATTAAAAAGGTACTATTTGTTATAATTCTTATTTCAGCTCACTCGTATTTCATAAGTAATGAAATAATAATTGATACAGCACTCAAAGTGTTAACAACCGAAAACATGGATGATAAATTGAAAGATTCGAAAACAAATTGCTCCTGTTTCATGGTTCTACTCAACGATACAAATCGCGTACTGTATCATGAATATGGATCTCTTTTAATATTCAAGACAAGAAGACGATAGTTAATGAGCAATATCTACAAGAAAACTCGGCAATGTATTTTTAGTTTCTTTCTTTTACGAAAATCCTTCCACATACATAAATCTTCTTATTGTCTTGGCAATGCGGTAGAAAAAATGAAAGAACCTAGAAGGAGGCAACTAGTGTTATGTTTGCCATTGTGTATGTAAACGAGTTCATTCGGCGCAGAAAAGGTGCTTACTTCAGAGTTCACGAAACTACCTTCATCGAGAGAACACCGTTGTCAGTTTTTAGATTAGAAGTTCGATGTCATGTTTAAATTGAAATGAACGTTGGAAGTAGTGTATCCCGGACATAGTTAGACGGAAGTAGCTATTCGGTACGCCTCGTTGCTACACCAATTCCACAAGTTCTCCCAACAAACTAATAACTAGACTGCGAGTGTTATGCATTAAACACCACGCCCAATTTTCAAACATTGATGCAATTTAAAGTTTGATAAAAAAAGATTTTTCACTTTAGTCACAAAGTAATAGCACTATTAATTTCTTCGTCTAGAGAAACAAATTTCATCATCAACGTAAGATTACGTTTACCCTAAATATAAAATATTAATATACAGACAGTAAATTTTGAAATAAAAAGTTCTGAAATAAATGTTTGCTGTTTCTTCAAGCATTAATTACACTGTAGAAATGCGTAAATTTATCAAGAGTATTCTACTAAATTATAATTGTTACTGTTCGATGAAATAGTAATCAGTAGTATGTAATGTGAATAGTCAGACATGAGAAAACATTTCTGTATCGTTGATGTCTTGTGAGTTTTTTCTTTCGACTCTGGAGGAAGATCCAAAAGCAACTCACCGTAATCATCCTCGTAGATGATGGCGACCTTGGTCCAATTGAGAAACTCCATGATGTCCTGATAAGCGGCGTTGAGCAAACTTTGTGCGGGATAAAGATTAATGCTGAACTCTTTCGCCTCTGTGTCCAGGTCCAGCCTGGCTTCCAAGTGTGGAATGTCCAGTGCGTCGCAGATACTGTGAATGTGTTGGCCGAGGATTGGGTCCGACGGACCGAATACAGCCTGCACGCCATATTTGACCTGTTGACATGCTGCAAACAAAATCACAATTCTAGTATATACTTTCTAGTGTACACGACCTACGAGTGGCTAAGAATAATAGAGCTCTAATTCATACGTCGTAGTTCTCGAGAAATAAAAAACCTTTATATGTTCAGCTTTTAAAATATTAATATTACAATTATTGATATTCATAGTTAATAATAAATAATATTATTAATAACACATTAATGGCTTAAAATAATAATGGTCTAATTCTAATTTTTGAGTTTTCCAGGGAAAAAGCTTCTATAATATTAATATAAAAATTACTAATATTACTACTTAATAGTTATTAATATCATTAATAACATTCCAATATTAGTGTATAATTGATCCAAGAATGTTTCACGAAAGCTGTTTTTTTATCGAGAATTCAGAAATAGTAACTAAATCACTATTATTCAGAGCCATTCACATCTTGCAGCATAAAATCTTCCAATATTTATCCTTTAATATTTACTTAGATGTATATAAGACAACTTCGAAATGAATTGAAACGCTGACTGTTTGAATTCCTTCTATTTCGTGAAGTAAATACACGTATCTGTGTAGCCGTCTGCTGGCACAATTCACTAGAGTTCGTTCGACAAACCATTACACGGAGGTATCACTGAGGCGGCGGTCGTGCGCCCCATTAAGATCGTTTGCGTGTAGAACGACTGGAGAACGACGTTAATGCGGTATTAACGCCCGGTTTAAGCTGAACGTATGACCACGGTTGTCGTTTAGCGTCGTAAACTTCCTTTATAGCTGATCAAAATTGTTGCACGGTTTCCAGTATTGTCGATTATTACCGATAACCGAGTTACGATTCATCTGATTGTACTGAGAATAAGCGACACGTGTTTTCCTGCTATCAAACTCTGCTAAGATTCCCATTCATAAATATGATGAAACTTGACGAATACGATACTTTCTCTTTCTTTGAAGTTCTCCATTAAAGTGAATAGGTGTTTCAATAAACAAGTGTACAAAGATTTCACGATTTCATACGATCGTTAAGTAATTCCCGTAAAAATTGTAACAATAGATTATTATCAGTTTCTTCAGGCATTCATTATAGTATTTAAGTAAAACTATTTTTAAAATCATTTCGAATATTCAATGCTCTTAAGGTATCAATAACTGCGAAACAAGAAACTGAAACCAGTCATTTTGACTGGTACGGTAGTTCTAGTGTTAAAATTTTCGTCATGAGTTTGATATGATATTGTAGGTCAAAGGTTAATATCGCAGTAACGAGCGAACGAACGCTCGCAGTGTTGACGGCGCTAGTATAGCTGTTCCTTATAGTCTCCAGAGTGCGGCGTAAGTGCGGTCGTACATGTAGAATGACCGACTAGTGTCTCCATGGTTATCTCGGTTGAGTCGCGAGGGTTGTTACGGTCGACACGAGTGCCCGAATTAGCCGGGTGCGATGCCTTTCAAACCTCAGACAACCGGTCCTTATGTTGGTAAGTTAATACATTACACGGGACAAGAACTCACGGATTCGAACATTCCGCCGGGAACAGCAGTTTCCAGATAGCTCTTGTTAGGGTCGAGTGTTTCGGAAGGCGTGGACACATGTTGGATAAAGCGATTACGGTTCGCTGTGGAATTGAATCTTGCCCATGTGACCATGAAATTCTCATCGCGGCTCGCGATTACCACCGAATGAATTCGAGGTACGTCGTAATGGTAATGATAACGACTTCGTAACGACTTCGTTAACCCTTTGCCCCATGACTTCTTTCGCAACTGCGCACGTTAAAACTACTATTCTGTAGGGATTATTTTTAGAGACATCCCACGTGGTGCTATGGTAAAGGGAAAAAGAATCGCGAGATTCGCAGTTTTAACAGAAACGAGTTTCTTAACGAGATAAATTAAAAAGTATAATAACCGGGTTGTGGATTTTTCTGTATTCATGGGGAAGGTAGCGCAAAACTGTACAGGATGAGCACGATACAAAGTATATATGAAAGTTCCAAAGTGTAGTACTAATAAATCTCGGAAAAATAAACGTGCGCGCAATATGCAGCAAATGGTACCAATTATTTGAAACATCGAGAAAAATGGAGCCTTCGTGAGATCAGAAGAAATTAAATTTATAGAAAGATGTGGTAAACGGTGCTGAATAGTGGTGATTGGTGAGCATGAAGAAAGAAATTTAACGAGACACTAAAGTGCTAAAAAGAATCCTTTTCTAGGAAATTTAGAGAAGTGTTATAAGTAATCTATTTATAACTATTAATTTCCATGATTTCATTTGGAAACATCATTTCCATTGAATTAAAAACGATTCTTCGGTATCAATCATAAACATAAAATGAATACCAAATAATGTCCTTAACATTCTAAAGAAGAGAAGCACTAGTTGATAGAATTATTTCGGTGCGTCCAGAAGCAATGTTGAAGTTCAACGTGACAGCAAAGTGTCCCCAGAGACATCTGGCGCGCAGTTTCCTCCATTTTTCCTTCCACGGGGTCCATTCTTTACTGCCACGTTCTTGCTATCCCACCAATAGCAATTTACATCTCCATTCGCTATCTTCCTTATTCAGAAGCAAGCAATACATTTCTATTATCCCTGATTGCGATCCCCTAGACGGGCATTCATATTTATTCTCAATCTGCAACCGGTATGCTTCTTATCGTAACCATTATTCCGTCTCATTCCTCGGTTCTTCATTTATCTTTATCTTGCGTCTACGCTGTTCTTCCCTCCGTCCTTCCGCGTCGCCATATTTCCATCGCGATCGCGACGGACGGCGAAACCGTTGGTTCAAAGGAGATGCGAGCCAGCCGGATATTAAAAAATAAACGGAACGCGGGCAAAATGGAAATGAAAACTGCCGCGAGGCCCTTGATTTGAAAACCGGTACTCGTGTTGCCATTATTTTTCACCGAAGTTTATCGGTCGATTACTTTATTAAATGGTAAATCAGCGTTTCTGATTTATCGTGCAAGTTGTTTACGCCGCCTTTGATCGCGACTCCCTAGCGCAAACAAAAAGTTTCTCGATACTAGCTGCAATTATTATAGTATTCGGGAACAGTTAAAACCGAGCGGGAATCGAACCAGCGAAGAAGGAAGTGTTCCGTTCCATTTTGTCCCTTTATCATTTTTATAATTGTATAAACAATACAGAGGAATGATTGGTTTAAATGCACTGTGCGAATAAAACCGTTAATTATTTAACGTATTGGTCACAGAAATGGCGGCCAGGAATATGGCGATACATATTGCGGGACGACGAGTACACAAAAGAATGGTAAAATGAATTTATTTGGTTTGTGTGTGTGTTATAATTTGGAACCTTCTTTCTGAAACTGCGATTTTGATTTTTTGTTTAACGTTGCGGAAATTATTATTTTGTAATAATTTATATTTACTTCGATTAATGATTGTATGCGTATGATTATGAACTGTTCTAAACATAGTTATAAACTGATTATAAAACTGATTATAAAATAATGCATTAAAGTATTAAACAATAAATTTGTTTTAGTGCAAACAGAAGCAAAAGAAAAGACAACAATTGAAAAGCTGATTAATCGGACAATTTGAGAACTGATGTAAAGTTAAATGGACAAAAGAAAAAGCAGAATTTTAAATTAAATTGTAAAACTGGTCGTTGACCGGTCTCGGTACGTTTATTGTGAAAGAACTCGACGAGCTCGCAGAAAATTTGCCTCATAATTTAACAGTTACCGTCGTCATTTTCTGTCTGCATGATTAAAATATACTAAGCCCTTTAACTCTCCGTAGAGGAAAGTGTTAGCGTGAGAAAAAAAATGACAGACGGCCGGTCGTAACCGGAGTATAATCGCGACGTTGCTCGAAATATGGGACGATAATGAACCACCAAAATCCCATTACCTCTTTGCCTGACAATTCATTATTCGTTAGCTTCTGTCTCGGTAGTTCGCAGTCCTGGTAATCGAAGGAACCTTCATAAATTCTGGTCAACGTTCTCATAATTTATTCGCTGTGGTAACGTGTTCCACGCGGTTGCCCCTTGGATCGAGATCATTTTCACCGTATAACTCCGCGAAAACGGCGATACACAGGCGATTTATTTTATCATCCGAGTGTAAAGCGCTTCTATGAAAGTCACTTGCCATTCCCGTTAAGCAGATAAGTCCTTTATGTCCGCAACTCTTCGAATAGTCAGAGGACCCTGTCGAACTCGCTGGAAGATTATGCAGCGAGACGAGGACTTTTACCAAGGGATCATCTTTTGTTCGAGAATCCCTTTTTTCGGAGATTCTCGCCTGTGCACCTCTTTGACGCAGTTGAATGGCGTTAAATTATAGATTAATCTTTGCGCTTATAACCTGGTATTGTTGTGTAGAACGTTTAAAGTACAGAAATGCACTTTCAACTTCTGCCTGAAACTATTACACTAGTCTACAAAATTTAACTTTTTTTTTGTTACGGAAAGTTTCATAAGTGGTCTTATAGTGTTTCTCATACTGAATTTGAATATCCAATCTGTTCTTCCCTGTTACCTACAGTTTTTGAGAAAATCAATTTAGAAGGAAAATTCAATTTTTAACTTTGCATATTTGTTGTGTCTTAATTATGAAAATTCAATGTTTACAATGTGATTAAAATTTGCATTATCGTGTTTAGGAAGGTCTATCGAATATTACTGTGTAAGAAAAGTTTGAAAAATATTCGTAATTAAGGCGCAACAAATGTTCAAAGCAATGAAGAAATGGCAAGGTTTTGTGTTATGACGAGTAAACTGCGATTTTAAATTGCGATTTCAGTAGAATCTAAAATATATTCGTAAATTTTAAGATGTTTTGAATATTTGGAGGCCAAAACAAAATATAACGAATAAATAAAAAAATGTAAATAATTATTATGAAGAAACTATATATAATGTATACAAAGTAATTATTCTATAATCACGATATTGGTGTTTGATTTGTGAAGTGCCGTTGTGTATTGTGCTTTCTCAATAACATTCCACAACAGCAGTTAAAATTATTATAAT